TGATATTTTGCATATGATATTTAAAAAACCAGACTACTTTTTCACTCTGGAGAGCAGCAGCAAAAATAAAATACAGGTAAATGGTTTTGCTCAAATGCTACTACCAGATTCATATGCCTTGGGTACTGTTTCCTGCTCACCTTCAAGTGCTGCCAAAAAATATTTAAGTTGTTTACGCTAAAATATTTCAACACATTACAAACGTAGCAAATCAAGAAAAACTATAAATTGCAATAAAGAAGTAAAAAATATTGCATAATTAATTTTCAACATAAAAAGGTGCATTTGCGCTGTGTATATGTGTATCGCACACCGTTTTCAAAAGGGGCACAACTCAAATTTAAACCTTTGTCAGAAAATGCGAAAAACTATTTCTTGGCACATGATAATCATATGGGCAAGAGAGACTTTACCTTAGGTCTTTTTTTAAGAAATTGCAACAAAAATTTTCTACAGCTTTTGCTAAAAAATAAATACAAGCTCTGTGGCATTTTTAGCGCATAATTTCAAAAATGTCAAATTTTGAATTGCGCCTCTTTTCAAGAAGGTGTGGGAAATGTACATATTCAAGTTCACAGCCAAGGCGAATTGCGCTGTCCTTTTTTGTTTTCAACATCAGTGTTGCCAACGAAGAAATTATTTCCAGCAAATTAAATATGAAAAAAATTCCAAACTTAAATTTTTTAAAGTAATGTGAAACAACCCTTAATCTTGAAAAAACAAATCGAGAATTTCGATCTTTTTAAAACCTCATGATTTGCGAGTCTCGAATTTTCAACTTTATTTTTACAATCTTCAAAGTAAAATTCTATACATATCTACTGCTCAATTTTAAATAGGCGGCCAATTAAGTAAATACAATACCTTCTCCATCTGGCAGACTGATTTTACTTATTATAAGCATAGAAACGCTTTAAAAAGTTAGAAAATAGTATTTCTCAACTAAAAAAAGCTAATTCTCAAATTTGTTCAAGGTTGTATATTCAAGGGAGTCAAGGGAGTTCAATGGGAGTCGACTATCATAAATTTGTTAAGAAACCTTTTTTTAGTATTTCGAGTTAAGCAAACGTCACTTCATCATCATTTTTCCAGCGAATATTTTTGGAATTCTGTTGGCAGCCCTGTTTTGGATGTTGTTTAAAGTTTTTTTTTTTAAATTAAATGCGTTGGCGTGCGCGAGACAATTAAACAATGCGTATAATGACTTTTTGAGAGAATTATCAACGCCACTGGTCGACAATTTAAACTGCTGATCGCCAACAAATCACTGTTCGATCTTTTTTTTTATTTTTATGATAGCGGCTAAATTGTTTAATCAGAAAAATAAAAATAAATATCAAGGTACAGATTAAAGCAAAAAGCGACTACATATTTCCAAATCGCCTCCCACACTTCGTTGGCTGATCTCCAATATTTGTTGTAGTCTAAACCCTGAATACACAGATCAAAAATTTAAAGGAGATATCTTGCCTAACAGAACCGACGTAGGTAAGGTTACACCAATTGGACATCGCACTCCCGACTGTCACGGGATGGCTTCTTATGTCGCAAGGAAAATACTCCACATAGTGAGGCGCTAAAGCTCTAAGTTAGTGAGCTTAATATCAGGTTCAAAATATGCTACCGCATGCGTTACCGCTGAAGCGTTCATCGGAGATCAACCACAATCCATCGCAAACGAAGAGCGCGAGTTTGTATGGTGTCCGAAAAAGGTTTAACCGTCAGGATTCCTATATGTAGCCAATTAGGAACTAATTAGAGAGAGATCTAGCATGTGAGCATTTCTGGATCTAAAAAAGGTTGGGAGCACGTTTCAAGACGGGAGACTATAAACTGGGGGCGGACTAAAGAGATAGTTGTTAGTATGGTTACAATCAGCCGAAACATAGTTTTGACCAGTGATTGCTTAAAAACTATATTATCTAAGAATTAAGTATGCACATATGAACGCAAATTATTTGAAACATTAAATAAAATAAAACTAAATACATACCTGATAGAAAGTCACCAGAACTTGACGCACAGTTCACCCAGCGGTGTTGTAACTACGTGAAAATATTTCGCAACGTTGTGAAAAATTTTGAGGAGAATTGTTAGGTCTTCTACATATAAACATTACTGTTTCCTTATCCTTAGAAGATGTGGGAAGATAGCGCAGTAGTAGAAGTCCATAAATTGGTCGAACGTAGAGTGGAACTGGGGCGCTAGTATGTACATATATGGTTTCAGTAGATGGTGTTTAGTAATTTATGTATTCATCCTCAAAGATTTCCCAACTTATCCGCCCTATTGTTTTTTCTTTGAATTTTATTTTTTCTTTGCAGACGAGCAATGCCATCCAAGTCCATGCGGTGTTAACACGAAATGTGAGATTATAAATGGCGTGCCCACTTGTTCGTGCATACACGGTTTCACTGTAAGTTTTGTTTGGATTTGTTATGTGCCGCATCTGCTTATAAACTATGTCTGTATCTGCTTTTTCGCACAGGGCAATCCTCTCTCCGGCTGTCGCCACGAATGTGAACACGATGGGGATTGCAGTGCCCGCGACATGTGTAGCAACTATAAATGCGTGCCCGCTTGCCAGCAGTGCGGCACTGGCGCCACCTGTAACTCGGTTGCGGCGCATCGCGCTGTTTGTGAATGCCCCAAGGGTTACATTGGCTCACCATACACCGAATGTCGTCCCGAGTGCTATGGCGATGTTGATTGTCCAGCCAGTCGTCCCGCTTGTTTCTATGGCATCTGCAAGAATACGTGTGACGGCGCTTGCGGTGTCGGCGCCGACTGCAACTTACGCGGTTTGACGCCTGTATGCAGTTGTCCGCGTGATATGACCGGTGATCCATTCGTGAGCTGTCGACCATTTACTAAAGGTATGTAGTTCAGGGCCAATTTCACAATGCGTAGTTAACTCAGAATCGGGAGTTAACTTCAGAATTTTGTACTGAAAATCTCTAGTTAACTGTCGATTCTGAGTTAAATACGCACTGTGAAATTGGCCCTAAGTCACTTTAAAATGGAACAAAAGTTAAATCTTATGCGTTTTTATTTTTGCTTACAGAGGATCTTTGTGAGCCGAATCCTTGCGGTACAAATGCCATTTGCGTACCAGGCCATGACAATACAGGACGCGAGCGCCCAGTCTGCAACTGCCTACCTGGCTATACTGGCAATCCATTGACGCACTGCACGCGGGTTTGTGTAGCAAGCCGTTTTTGGGTGACTTTCTGGTAATTATTGCACTTTTTCGTTTTCTATTTACAGGGCGAATGCCTGAGCAACAACGAGTGTCCTGACAATAAGGCTTGTATCAACTATCAGTGTGTGAACCCTTGCATTGGCAAGTGTGCTGCAGGTGCTACTTGCGAGCCCAAGGCTCATTTGGCGGTGTGCAAGTGTCCACCTGGCTATTCAGGTGATGCGTTGGTGTCGTGTCGCCAAACGCGCGCCTTCCCTGTGGCCAAGTACGATGGTTGCACGCAGTGCGGCAAATAATTTGCTTCAGCTTGCTATCTGGAATGATGGGTACAACTGCCATGCGCTGGAGAAGGCGTACATGGGATGCGCTAAGGTGCCATCTAAATCTTCCACTATTGTTACACCGAATTTCCAGATGATTTTTTCTTTTTATTTCTTGTTTTTCGCTTATATTTAAAATTTACGTCCCATTTAAGCGCTGTTCTGAAATTAAGATTTTTGTTTAATTTTGGTTTTTAAATACATATATTAAGCATTTTGTTAAATAATTATTTTGACATGTAAGCGAGGTATCCTTAATAAATTTAATTTATAACTTTTTAAAAAAATAAAATAAAATAAAATTTAGTTTTGGTGTGTACAACTCGGGAATAACAGAAAACAATTAAAAAAAAACACGGTGTTTTGTTGTAACAGCATAAAAATTCCCTAAAGGGTTTGAATAATCACCAATCACAGTGCTTTATTTAATGGCAAAACAGTTAATTAAATACTGTGAATTTGACAGACGCAATTACATATGTATCGAAAAATCACGCTTACAGATGGAAATACATATCGTGTAAGAATACTTTAAGTTTTGAAATGACACAAAAAACGCCGCAACACGAAAACTTAATTTTGGCTCGTAGATTACGGCCCTGTATGCCATTTCTCTAGATCAGATCATTTTCGCAGGATACCTTCATTTTAAGCATTTTCATTGGACCATTTACACTTTATATATCAATCAATTTTCTTCGTCGAAAGCTTGACGTTTTTGTAAAAAAATAGGCTTTAACACAAATCAAAAGAATTTATAAAAGATCTTTTGTTTTAAATATTTTTCCCTGTTATAATTTGCATTTTTTGCTTTCACAATGCTGGAAGATATCTTGCGAAAATGACATGATCTAGAAAAACGTTATACATGACAGTAGTCTACGACCCAAAATTAAGTTTACGTGTTTCGGCGTTTCTATGGGTAATTTTCGCGTCTCTACAGTATTATAAGCGAGTAAGGTCTGTCCCTTTATCAGAGTTTTCCAAAAGTGTTTAGGCATTTTTACACTAGAAACAAGCAATTTTTATTTAAATAGTACATCCACTATGAAAGCTTAAACAGATCGCTTAGGACATGATCAAAATAAAGTTGATTTAGTTTCACTCTTCCTAACCTTATTAAAATCCAGATGATATGAATTGTATTTTCTGCTGCCTAGATAACGCTTGTCGACCAGTGTAGTCAGAGGCGGTTGATATAAATAACTACAAAAAGCAAATTTTTAATCATCAAATATTACGAAAGTACGAAAAGTGCATGAGTGCTTAACAAAAATAGTAAAAGTGTGCATACCTCGACGCATTCAAGACGAATTCACAGGTGTTTGTTTTCTTACATTTCTCTCTTCCAAATACGGCAACCTACGGTTATTTGCGTGCTGTCACTTTTGAAAGCAAACAAATGGTCGGAAATTCGAACATTATCAGCCCAGTCGCCAGTATACGATGTATTGGAAAATCTCAAAAACAGCAGCTGCTTCATTTACCTCTTCCATTCGAATATATTCATCACTGCCATAATTAATGATATACAACTTTTTTTTGACATGGTAAGACGTAATATCACTTATATTTAGTATTTTACTTTTTTGTTTTACTAATAATTGAATACAGTTTTATAAACGAAGGGTTTCTTATGCTCGTCGCCGTAGTTTGGCAAATAAATATACGTAAATACCGGTTGAAAGATGCTGCATTGGAATAACAAACTTGAGTTGCTATTTAAGCATTAGAGTAATGAAATAAATTTTGAAGGTTCCTTTAGTTGACCTTTAGCATTCTAAAAAATACGTTAAATATTTCTTGTTTGATGTTATTGTATAAATTATGTCGTAGGTAATAGGTATCTATGCACACATGTACATAAATATCTGTGTGTGTGTGTTTTTTTTTATAAAATGCTACGCTATTGCAGTTTGCTGCAGTTGTGGTTTTAGTGTGACTTAATTTTTTAGGATATTTTCTTATTTTGTTTTACAAAAAGTTTTTTTATACAATGCATACTTTTGTTTCCGCATCTCATATAGCACACCGCCTAACTTTGGCAACTGCTAAAGTTGGTAACTTCACTGTGCACTATGGTGAGTAGCACATCAATGCTCCTATTGCGCCTAAAATTACACATTTTTACAACTCGCATGCCCCTTAACACACTCCAATACGAGTGCGGTGTGTGCTCGCGCCTGTGTTTGTTCTGTGGGTAGGTTTAGTGTTTTTTGTTGTATAATTTAATGTTTTTTTTTGGCGTATGTATATATGTATGTGGTATGTATTTGCTTTCGTTTTTCTTTTAAATATAATATATATTTTTAAAATATGCTGAGTACTGTGGTTTTATTGCGCGTTCTACACAAAACCGTCGAGGAATTGCGTGTATTTCAACTGCAACATTTACTTTTTCGTTTATTCTTTGCCTGTTTCAAGGTGATACTGTCCTTTTGTTGTTCGTTTTGTGCGTTGCGCAGCTTGTGCTGCAGCACCTGCCGCGTTATGGCGAGGAACATCTCCTCTACATTGATATTGTCTTTGGCGGATGTCTCGAACAGTTCGATATCCATTTGGCGGGCAAATCTCTGTGCATCCTCAGTGATGACCACTTTGCGATCGGGGTCGTCATTCTTGTTGCCCACTGTGGAGTGAGAAAATATGTACATTTTTAGAACTCAATTGCAAGCTCATAAAAGTACGTTCGTACTTACCCAACACCTTATTAACCACATCGCAATTGTTCTGTATTTCATCCAACCACCGACGCACATTCGCAAAGGATTCGCCATTCGTTACATCATACACAATGATCACACCATGCGTACCGCGGTAATAGGTACTCGTTATGGTGCGGAAGCGCTCCTGTCCGGCAGTATCCCATATTTGCAACTTAATGCGGAGTCCGTCGATAACAACCGTGCGGATCTTGAAATCCACCCCAATAGTGGTAATGTAAGTGCCGGCGAATGTGTCGTCTGAGAAACGTATTAGCAATGATGACTTTCCAACACCTGCACCGGAAAGGGGCGGCAAAATGAAATTGAGTTATAAGTGTAGGCAACAAAACATAGGTACAAAAGGATAAAAAATCAATTAAAAATAAATGGCTGGGCAGATTAATTATCTAAGACACAATGTACGTAGCGATTGTGTTTCTTATACTGTTATAGCGCAATTATATGGAGGTTTGCGGGAGCCTTAGATTTCTACTATATAAATTTTATACCCGATCAAACCTTTCGCATTTAACTGCAAAAAAAAAACATAGCGTCTGACACACAAACGGGTCTCAACGTCTGCAACCAGCGACCATCGGCAAGAAGCAAGAATTAGTCATCCTCTGTTTTATGAGCTACGTATGCATGTACATGGGTAAAAACATATTTACATACATACATAGGCTGGCAGTTGGCGTGCGGCGTGTATGCCGGCAATATACGCCTATAGCTTTAATTTTAGTTTCCACTATCGTGTATCGCTAAAATTAGCTAATTTCTGGGATGCAATGCCGCTCATCCATATTTACAAATGACACAAATTCCCTAAGGATGTTAATACACGCAAATGTATGCACATAAAAAATTCTACTACATAAATACATACATATTGCAAATAGGATACTTACCACTATCACCTATAATTAGTAATTTAAATAAATGATCAAAGCCGCGTGCCATGTTGCTTGGCTAATGTGCAGCGTTTTCCCAACGATTAGAAACAGCAGCAACACCCACTAAATGACCAACGCAACAACAATGACAACAACAGCAAAATAAGAAATTTTCCCAGTTATTGAAAGGAGTTTAGCGCCGAGTGATTTTTTCTATATTTTGTGCTGCTTTCGAATGGCTTTGCTTTCACGCTGTGTCTTATTATTTTGTTCTGTTGTGTTTTTTCTTGAGTTTTTATCGCTACAATGTCCGACGACGAAAATGCTTCTTATGCGAAGCTGATAAGGGTCTCAATGAGTTATGCACTGCGCGGCCGGCTGGTGGTGGGTTGTCGGTTATTGGGTGTGAGGCATGGCCTTTAGCAGTTCGCAAAAATGTCGTTTAAGCTGCAAGAATTTTGATATTTATCGCTACTGATATGCTAAATATGCCAATTGCTACATACATTTTAATTGTGTTTTGGACAATTCTTGTTATTCCTTGGGTATTGTGTTGGCGATTACGGCTCTGGGCGAGTTGCTTTTTCCAATTTTTTTCTTGACGATGGGTGGATGTTAGAAATGAATTTTGACCAGTTTCCATGTACTAGGGGGTGACCTGTTATTACCTCTACATAGAAATTGTGCCAGCTCAGACGCAAATAAGTTTTTATGCTGCAATTTTTTCTGTAATTTCTCGTGTCAAGTGACCAGCACCAACGTCTCCAACACCCGCATTCACACACTCAACACTTCATTTTGTAGACGGTTAAACGGCAGCGCGGCGCAGACGAAATCGACGGGAGTAGAGAAGTGTTCACAGCAAATTCTGTGACGTCGACGCGAACAGCGGCTGAGACTACGTTGATTTCGCTGTTGCTTCCGCTCCCTTCCTTTCCTATGGCTTTTTCTGCCCTACTGATTTACTTGCTGTGCAAATTGGCTAGACGTTGGAGTTGAGGGTGGTGGTTTTTCCGATTTTTGTTTAATATTCATAAAAAATACACTTCAGGTAAATTTATTGTCTGGTTTATCTGAATCCAAACTCTTTTGAATCCAAGATGCAGGTTTTTAATTGAAACTTTAATTCAAACACGACGTCTCATTCACTTTTCTGCCTTCACTTTTATCATAATCCGTAATTTTTCTGTACTGGTTTTCCTTTGTTTCGCACAGGAATGGTAAAGTCGACTCTGACTTTAGTCAAAAATCGAATCTTACACGATCAAGAACTTGCTTCATGTTAAGCACACATTCTGCCATT